TGAAGATCTTTAAAGAATTAGTTTTAAATTAACAATACTTTTAAATGCGAAGAATTCTAAAAAAAAATCTTCAACAAATAACCTAAAAGAGTAGTCGTAATAATACAGTGAAGTTGAAATGTTTCCCGAAGTGAAATTCTCAACAAAAATTGTAGCGAGCTGCAGGAGTATAACGGAGCCAACGCCTCCTACATCTGCGCTTAAATTTTGTTCAAGGAACTTTATTTTAGTTCACCTAAACGCGTGGAATAAGCTCTTGTAAAAGGAAAAAGCAACACTAAGTTTAAGATAAGAAAGAATTTGTTGTTGCATTATGCTTAATATTTTAAGAGCTCTGGAGCATTAGCATGTGTAAACAGTTTTCTCACGTTTACATATCTTGCCTTTTTTGGGTAACTTGCTAACGAGACAAGTCTGTAATAGAAAAAAATCAGAAAAGGAAAACACCTTACAAAATTTAATAGCAAATTTTTAAGTAATTACCAAAAACTTACGTCATCGTCTAGATATTAAATATTACTTTAATTCATTTGATGATTAGATGTTTTCATTTCCTATATTTTTTATGCAATAATTAACTAGTTTTTTAAGCTTCAAAATAAAAACATCTCTTTAAAAAACCTAATCGTTTAAAATTCATAAACCGCTAACTTAAACATATATAACTATATTCTGGGACTAATGTTCATTACATTGATATACAAATGATATGTCTAATCTAACAAGCAATGTATACATAGAATATTCCATTTCCATTATCGAAATGCATGCACCGTAACGAGGTGCATCGTCTAACTTATTGAAGTTAATGAATGTTCCTTAATGTACCAGAGTTTACCTACACAGTTACCTCCCTCTTGTTTACTTACATTCGACTATTACTTTAGTCTGAGAGTACGATACTACATACTAACTTCGCATTAGATCTATATCTTGTCTTGTTTTCTAAATCAGAGGGCATAACTGTGGCAAGAGCCATCGTATCGACTTCAACAAAATATGTATAAAATTTGTTCAGCGCCCCCTATTGAGCTATAAAGTAAACTAGAATTTCATACTAATTTTGACATCCCGACGAAGCGTGTGGCCGGATCCATGACCACTTAGAGCGTTTTATTTGCTGAATCGGGTGCTCTCTACTACGTGCCAGGAGTTCTTCGTTGAGCACTTTAAGTCAAATCAAGTTAGTCAATTTTGACATACTTGCCGATAATGTTATGAAGACGCTTGTCGTAAATATTCGTGATAGACCCACAGTTAATTTGAAGATTATTACAATTTCTCATATTTTGAGAAACATGACTACAAAAGGGGTTCATACAATACATGCATTAGTTTAAGCGACTTCTGAGCCAAAAGTATCAGAGACAAATCCTGCTAAATCGTAATAAGCCAATTACGACCAGTAAACTTACTTATAGATTGTATTATAGCATTATTGTACAGCCCAGCCCATCTCAATAGTCAAAATAGTAACAAATTTTCGAATTTAAAACCGTAAAAATAAATGAAATATTTAAATTCATATGAAGTATAGTTTCGAAGGCAAAAGTAAGAATTCATTTGAAAACTTAACTGGAATCCATTATCGTTTACTTCCCGACTCTCTCAAGAACTACAACTTAATTAAAGTTGATGAGAAAAAACAGCTATTCCTGTGAAGTCGGTGCTCTTACATAAAACTGTCGCGACACTCCCGACTTTATCTCGTACATAGAGTGGAGATATAACACTAAGAACTTTCACGATTCTTCTCGTCATTGTGAATTTATTGAGCCCAGGTTCTTAAGTTATTCTACACATTTACTGTCCGGACAAACAATACGTGCTTTGCTATTATTATTATATTAAAAAATAGAAAACCACAGAGATAGTAAGGACTAGAAGTCGCATATTTAATTAATTCGTGTCGTTTAAAGATATGTAATACAAGTTGGTTCATGTTTTTTTAGAGATATATTTATTATTCTTGATTCAGAAACTCTTTTTATTACGATAAATAACATTATAATAAACACTTCTTAAACTAAAGATGCCATATTTAATATTTCTTTTCTTTTTAAATATCGTTTGTCAAAGTTATATTTACAAACTCTACTAAATTCTAGTTTATAAAAGTGTCTTGAAATTTTTATCGCGTTCACCTACCGAAATTACTTTGGACCATCAATGTGGCGACGGAAAAAAATATACGTTGAAAGTTAAAAAAGCTCGTCTTCTAAACAAGGGGCGTGTATTAAAGCTCCGTCCTGATAAGAAGCCGGAGACTCGGTACCTCGGAGTTAATCATGAACCTCAGAGCTTATTTACATAATGTTTCCTTTATCCTACTTGCTTAGAGGATCGGAAAGTTTTGTTGGGGCCGCGCGGCGTCGCAGCGGGGTGCGTAGGCGTTATTTATTCGTTATTAACATAATTATACTTTGGTAAGTAACAAGTGGGAAGAAATTATGAAGTAATATACTTAAATACATATAAAGAGACATAAATTCATCTTTAAGATTAAGCTTATCATCATCAGATTTTGATAATAATAAACGCCTTTTTTCATATGTTTTTATTTCAAAAAAAAAAATATTTACTTACTTTTAAAAAGATAAAATATAAATGTGAAATAAATTGTTTAAAGTGACATCTATTTCAATATAAAACATACTGACTAAAATAGTGTTTGGTAACATAGTTGTTAAAGCATGAAAAAGAGTTTTGAATAAAATATATCGGGTGTACGCTTTCAATCAGACAATTTATCTGACTTTTATTTTATCACCGGTCGGTCCATTGACGAAACGAGAACTAAAATTAAAGCCGCGCTCTCGTTTAGTTCGGATAGTTAATTCGTAAGCTTATTAACAAGTTGCAAAACGGGGCTTTAGTTTGGCCGGGCTATCGAATCAGTGTAAACAAGTAACAAATTACGTGGCGAATTAGCCCGGACGCGTTGAAAACATCGACTCGATTGCATGTTTCCTAAACCGCGTGTACACAGGGTAATATATATGAACGCGTCAACACGACTATTGCTGTACTGGTATATGCAGTTATATATCGCGGCCGGCGGATCGCGGATGCGAATTTAATATCTGTCAGGGACAGGGAGAGCCGCGGGAGCGAGTTACGATTCTAGGTACGCACATCGTATTTGATACCAAATAAAAAAAGTTGTTCATTTTATTTTTAAAACACATTAAAGAAGGAAAACACAGATTATAGAAGATTGTTGTGTTACAAAGCATTTTACATGAGAATAAGTAAACTACTGAGAAAATGAAGACAACCAAAGTAGAAATTATACTATTCATAGGATATTTCCGTTCTACTAAAATAAGACGAAGATAAATCTTTTATTTATTATTAAAATAAATACTAGAGTATCTAATCCAACGTCAGTAACGCGCAGTCCACACCACGTATAGCACTATTATGAGACATCTCATTTCACGTGTTCGCTGCCATTGTGCCCGATGGGAGATATGTTTACATAAAAATCTAACATCTCTAAATAATTGTCTAGAAATGATAGCCTATTTATGAAATAAAAGACAAACGCCGACGGTTTAATTGATATCCCTGTAGTCTATGGCTTTCAAAGCTAAATGTTTAAGTCTAGAAATTTCGGTAGTTAGAGCAAGAAAATTAATCGTAGACAATCTAAATTCAATATTAATTTTAAATTGCTATAATAAAAACTACTGCATCATATGAAAGATTATATATTGTAAATCTTACTTCTAATATAAATGCTAAAGTTTTGATGTATGGATGGATGTTTGTATCTCCAGACCGACTTAACGGACCTTGGTGAAATTTGGCATAGATAGTTTGAAAGAACACATAGCTTACTAATTAAGGTTTTTTTTAATACCACAAGAACGGAATCGCGGGCGATAGCTGGTAACAATAATAAATGAAAAACATGTATTTATTTCTAACAAATCATGTAATTTATAACTGACAGAAATATAAAATGAGCTATAAATATGACGAGAATGTTCGCAAACTGTAAACAAATTCATAAAATGCAACAGACATAGGATCCGCGCGGCGCACTGGATAGTGTACAACATATTGCGGCTGGATGATGAACGAGCGGTGAATTCTCTTATAATATACTCCCTACTCTACATAATATGTTTTCTATACATTTATTTTAACTCATTTTTAATGGTAGAGTTTGCACAGATCTAGGTGTACTTTTATGGGTTACAATTGATATGTGTTGATGATTGAAAGATATTTAATATTTATGTAAAAAATTAAAAAGTTGAGTACATAGAGAATAAATTTTAAATTAGATGACTTGCTCTATATATGACGTCATAGCTAATACGCAATTATCACGGTCCATTAAATCAGTATGGTAATATTGTATTATATACACGGCATAATGCATGTTAACTAAATTCACATTTGTAAGCATTACAAAATCATATTTGCCATTTGATTCCGTTATGAGGGAATCATACGTCGCTACATATACGTAGACATCCGTCCAGTCGCAGCCTAACATTACTCACTGGAACTAACATTTATCCACGGCTCAAGTAACAAGCTGATAGCGGTTTATATTTCTAGATTTTATATTGAAATTTTGGCTACAAATTTATTTACATTATAATCTACCTACTTTATAAACTTTGGATATACTTCTTTTGTAGTAGTCCAAAAGAACTCTAAAAGAATTAAAATTTAATACGTGGATTCATCATCATTAGATTCAAAACAATATTTTTATATTGAATAAGCTGGTACTTGACTACGAAAATATGGTCGAAAGATTGTACGCGCTATCTTAGTAAATGCCTATTTACTCCATACATCTATAAAAGCCTTCACTCCCTTAAGCATATCCTCCTTCATACAATCCATACAAATTTTATTTGGAGTTCATCTACATTTGTAGCCCACTTTCAATATCATTACTTTCCTGTTTATGTGATCTGATTTATAATTATGATATATTTGGTTTATATTAAAGTCATATTATTAAATAATCTTACCCTCAGCTTTGCTTATGTAGCGTTTGTTTTTCCTCTTGCCGATGGCATTCTTCCTTACCGAAGGACGTGGCCGATCTGAAAATATTTCGTCATTGTTTTCTACTTCGCCTTGCCGGACATTTTTATATAAACCTATATATCTATATATCTCAATCTCAGCAGGCGATTATATTATATACTTTACATAGTGTTTTGCCGAATTTTAAAAACCGTATTAAAATATTGTGCAACAAACAAACAGAAAGAAACAATGGAAGTGTATGTTTAGATGATCAATCTTGTTTATGTATTTAAATGACATGCGAATGTAAACGAAGTACACTTAGAGTGTTTAAAAAAGGATGTGGCTTTTGTGTTCGGTTTTGAGTGGATAAGAGGATGCGTTAAGAGGGTAACAGTAAATAGGAGGATTGGAGGATTTACACACTCCTCTCATACATACAAATTTCGAATACTCTTTACTACTGGGACAAGTGGTTGCTATAAACAATTTTACGGACCCTAACACTACGAATCAAAGTGGGGTCGCGCGATGCCATGAAATTTTAAAAGGAACTTTTGAACTACTGAGGTAATTCCTGACAAAACTATATATTATAATATGAAGACTATGGCTCTATTGTTAGATTTAAACTCTTAAAAGTAAAATGTTTAATATTTTTTTTCTTTTTGGTAATATTTGCGCTTTTATGCGAAACTCGAATAAAATAGACTTAAAAAAATTGACTGAAATTTTATAGTAAAATGTGGTAAATTATTTTGCTAAGTTCTTACTGAAAATTTGAGTGTACTCAAAAGATTTTTCTGATTCATTCGCCCTACAAAGCATTTTAATATAAAGCGAATCTTGCTAGCATAAAGTATTTTGGAGAATTTTCGTAGGCGGCTGTCTCGCAAAGTGTAAACTTTATAATAAAGGTGCAAAGGGTAGACTAATTGATTTACTCGAAAACCCATTAAAATGATTTACATTTCGGATACTCTGCGATTTTATAACGGCGAAATTAAAAAGTTGCTTTCCCCGCTCTCTCCGATGCCTCGTCCAGTCTAATTCACCCCGGCTAGCGCCCGGCGCCCGAGGAGGGGTGATTACCCCTTTATTGCTCCCCCGCGCCACCCCTAATGCATGACACTATTACGCTAGATGTGAACTAATGCTTTCAATGTCTTTTCTTGCAAAATTATTGGTAATCTTAATACTAAGTGTCTAGACAACAATATTATAAAAATGATGATATCTACGATGGTCAGCATTTGTTTTAATGAAGCGCCAATAACCTAATGGTTAAGGGATTACTGTTCACGTGGTCAGGGGTTCAAATTCCGTCATTCAACTATTGTAGTAAGCCATATCCTACCACAAGCCTAGCGCTTAGTTGGAATGGTGCAAGAAATATTAGTAATTTAAGGGAAATCTGCTAATATTTACTAAAATAAAATAGTTTGAGATAAATACACTAGAATAGGTCCTTCTATGACAAGTAAACATTACATAAATGTTATATTCACATCTAAATCTTATCTTTAGTTCGGTAGTTAACATAACAGATTTTAGTTTCCAAGAGTATACTTTTAGTTGTGTCCGTGTCAATAAGAACAAATATAACTATAAATGAACCTTTATTTTAATTTAATAGAACAACATGACCAACAGTTAAAACCACTGTTAAAACAAGGGTGTACTCCTCGGACTACAGAAAGGGCATTGTAACGGCCACAATGTCACGTGTACAATGAACCGACGCCTCAACACGAGTCGAGGTATATAGAGTTGTTAATTAGCTGCACTCTATAGAAACCAACAGGGACCATATCTCGTTAAAAACTGTAATTCTATTAAAAATTTCATTTACTAATTTCATAAAGCAGTATAACTGTAGAAATAACATAAAAACTTATTTACTGATAAGATTCCTTTTATAGAATTAATTAAAGTAATTATTAGCTTATTACATTTTTTTTGTTAAATAAAAGTTAACTGTCATATTTATGGTCGTATATATAAATTCAAGAAAATAATGACATTTAATTTAACATTAAAAATGCCAAAATATACGACAATGTAACACAAAATCGTTTAATAATCCGATGCTATTTGGCAGACGAAAAGGTGTCGCCAATATCTCGGCTCCAAGCTCTTGTCTGGAATACGAAGCATTTTCAGTGAAGAGGCTTGAGGTGGGAGTATCATTAGATGGAAATTCGTTTAATTGTTGTGAAAGCGAGCTTTAAATATTTCGCTTTACACAATTGTTAGACGTGAAGCAGTTAAAGAAAATTAGATTTCTTGTTAAAGGAACACGAGACAAATTATAGCAAATAATGTCTTTTGTGATTGTTATTATAGTTGAAATTGATACAATAAACGACAATTTCTTCCTTGAATGTAATAGAATTAATGTTTATTTTATTATTTTTAGATCTTGAAATATTATTACATAAGCCGTCGTGTCGAATTAGGATCTTATTAAAGGAACAAAGTTGTGAATTTAAGAAAATTTATTGTTATTTTGTGATTTTATATTTAAATAATAAAGCTAATGAATTGTTTTTATAATAAATTGATACAACAACTTTGAGCTGATAACAAAACTATAGTGGTGAATAAAAACAAAACAGACCTCGTACATTAATAATATTACTTTCGCAATTTTGTAGGTGTTATACTTAGTTTCGAAAGGCGATATTAAAGATACAATTACATGCATTTCCAGCATTGTATTGCAGTTATAGTGATTCAGATTGTCCGATCTAGTGTGGCATATCTAGATTGACACATAAATCCGATACAATCCGATTAGGTATAAAGTTGATTACGTTAAAGGTCAGACTAATATACGAAGAAAGATAATAATCATATATTACTTATGCAACAATAAATTACGTAAACATTAATCAATTTAATCTCGAATAATGTACATATGTAAGTTCAAAATGAGATGGTAATTCCAATTTTTCTGACTTAAACTAAAACATAAACAGATTTGTTTACCATTCACTAATTGTAGTTTACTAAATGGTTAATCGAATTTATGAGCTTTTATCAACGTTGGACAATGATGTGCAAGCGAAATTACAAGCCTAAAATAATCTATTGATATTCCTAAAATATAGTACCAATACAAGTTAGATATATCTTTGTTAACTTAAATACAACATTTATAATAGGTTTAATATATCATTTTTTTTTATATCATAAGATGGCAAACGTGCAAGCGGCCACCTGAAATCGCTGAAATACCGAAGTGACCGTTGCTCATAGACATACGCAATTGCATATGCGTTGCCTACCTTTAATCGACGGAGGAGAGGATGCACCGAAAGAAAATATTTTCCCTTCCCATGCATCCTCTCATCCGGAAAGTCCACTTCCACTTCCCATCCTTTCCTTATAAGAAAAAGGATGGGAAGGGAAAGAGGACTATATTAGGCCTCCGGGACGCACACTCATCAGACGAAACGCGAAATCGTTTCCACTTCACGCCTGTCTTCTGTGTGGTCGTGGTATTTCACCGGGCGAGCCGAGCCAATTTGTGCGAAGATGTTAAAACGGGCTCTACCACTGTTAGAGTTTATTACTAACTTCATTTGATTATGTACTTAATTAAACATGTATCAAGCAAAGATTTCAATCATCTTCAATATGCTATCTATATGCAAGAACAAACACTCCATTCGAAGCCGTAGTTAAGTCATTCGAAGCCGTAGTTAAGTGGATGGCACTACTAACATTTCGCTTTGCTTTTAGAAAAATCAATCATATACCTATTAAATTACAGTTCACTTTCATTAAAAGTAAAATTTAGTATTGAATTTAAACGTCATTTTTTAATAACATTTAAGAAGTAGAATGTAAAGATGAAGTATACAGAGCGTAGTTAATAAGAAAATTCCCAAAAAGGTTTCGCGGTCAACAACTATATAGAAAATAGCAATGTTTTTATACGCGTGTGGAATCGCACAGCTATAGTATATACAAAGTGAAATTCACTTTAAATTCAGAAATATTTAAATGTTTAGTTTCCACATAAAACAGTAGCCCAACAACACCTCAAACTCGTTGAAGTTGTAAATTCCTTTTCTAAGCAAAAAGTAGCAATTCAGTCACAAAAAATATTCTACAATACAGTAAATTAATTGGCACTTTCATTGAAATATTTTACATGTAATAATATATTTTATATTATAGAGTTAAGTATAGCATGTTCATTCGTCGTAAGAATGAAGTGCCATCGCGAGTCGTAATTGTGGCCGCGAGCCGGAGCCGGGAACAATTCGCCACTCGACGCCACGCATCCGTGAGTGCTACTCGATTCGTACAGTAGAATGAAGCTTTAAAATAAAATCAAATGGATAAAAACTTTTCAACATATTATGTACTACAAGAAATGTATTAATATATCGAAAAGTTACATCCACATGAGCAAGAGAATAAAATAACAGATTCATTTTGTAATACATGGAATAATATATAGATTATTTTGTAAGATTCTTCACCTATTTACCGTGGGTTTCTGACACACAAATCCCGTATCACACATGTATTTGTCCCTTTCATCATCTTTGACAACACTGAAACAACTATATGTTTTAAAATGAAATTTTGATCTCAGGAACCCAGAGTAAAACTGCCAGATTTATGTAACATGATCAAGAAGGGTCTTAAAACTGAAATGACGGAAAAAAATAATTCTTAGATAAAAATTGAAATAATTTATCGTTGAAATATGAAAGATTGAATTTATATTTATTTATACCTATATAATAATTATGAAAATGTTTGAAAATATAAATCGTTATAAAACTCGCTTAACAAAATAAAATGCTAAAATAAATGCACTATTAAAATCGCTCAGTCAGACGGAAGTACTTAACTGTAAATCGCTGTACATTGAATTTCATGCGAAACTCACAATTTCAGTCATCTTTTGACAATGCCCAATCGGAATATTTTTCATATATTGTGGAATAAACATGCATTCGAATATTTGTGAAACGGAATTATTATGTGTAGTTTAAAATATTGTTTTAATTTCAATCAGTGATAATATCATAGTTCTCGTAATCTCACGAAA